TACCTACAGCAAGTAAGACTAGAAGAGCTGGCAAACATTTTGATTGCATGTTCTGTAAATTTGTTTCTATATCACTTTCACTTACTTTAAATTACAATGTAAAACATTATTTTTCACAACTCAGTTATTTTGCCTCCATAATCCTAAAACAGTAAGCCTAAAACTGTTATTTCCACAAATAATTTGGTTTGATCTATTTCTATACTCTTCCCTTTACCCATAAAACAATGGTTCTCAAACCAAGCTGTCAAGTTACCATGGTTTTCCACAGGCTGGAATAAAGTATCATAGCACTAAAATCTAAGAATAATAGCTTTTCCTGAGTCATATAAATATGTGAATTAATGAAGACAATTCTCTCAAAAAATTCTCTCAGTCATGACATCTACTACACTTCTACTGGCAGATATTGAAACCAATTAATCATGTGTAAATTAAAAATAATATCTATTTGCAAGGAGTTAATTAAGCTGTTATAGCTTTGTTATGGATATGTATACTTATAATAAATTTATACTATATAGATCCAATAAAGTCATTCTCTACTAGCAAAATTATTTCTATTAACTGTTACAAGATAGTTATCATGGGTTCCAAAACAAACATGGTAGCTCTATCCTCTGAATAAATTTACCTCCTGAGCCCCTGCAGAAAAATTATAATGTAGATATGTTAGCAACCTATTAGGGGCCAGGCTGCAGAGCTCTGTCCACCCCTCCAGCCCCCATCCATGGAAAAACTGCCTTGCATGAAATCAGTCTCTGGGGACAAAAAGGCTGGGACCACTGCTCTAGACCCTTAAAGACAGCAAATGTCTAAAATAGCTAATATCCGAAATAATAGTTGGATGTGGTAGCTCAGACCTGTAATTCTAGGGACATGGGAAAATTACTTAAGGCCAGGAGTTCCAGCCTGAGCAAGAATGAGACCTCATCTCTACATAAAATTTTAAAAATTAGCCAGGTGCAGTGGCAGATGCCTATAGTTCCAGCTACTCAGGAGGCTGAGGCAGGAGATCATCAAAGCCCAGGAACTTGAGGTTACAGTGGGCTATTATGCCACTGTATTCTAGCCCAGGCAACACAGAGAGCCCCTGTCTCAAACCAGAAAAAAAGAGAGAGAGAGAGAGATAGAAATAACAGCTATTCATTTTTTGTAGAGACAAAATCTCTCTATGTTGCCCAAGCTGGTCTTAAACTCTTGGGCTCAAGCAATCCATTTTCCTTGGCCTCCCAAAGTTCTGGGATTACAGAAGTGAGCCACTGTGTCCAGCCCTTCAAATCTTTTTCTTTCCAAATAATATTCTTTATATGGATATATAATATTTTATTCATCCATTCCTCAGTTGATGAATAACTTTTTTCTAAAATCACCTCATTTTAATAAGGAAAAATATAGATTAAATAAACAAAATTTACATTAAGATTTTTCCAGGTTAGGCCAGGTGTGGTGGCTTATGCCTATAATCCTAGCACTTTAGGAGGCCAAGGCAGGTAGACTGCCTGAGCTCACAGGTTAGAGACCAGTCTGAGCAAGAGCAAGACCCCATCTCCAAAAATAGCCAAGCTTTGTAGCAAGCACCTGTAGTCTTAGCTACTTGGGAGCCTGAGGCAAGAGAATCACTTAAGCCCAAGAGTTTGAGGTTCCTGTGAGCTATGATGCCACAGCCCTCTACCAAGGGCGACAGAGTGAGACTTTCCCTCAAAAAAAAAAAGATTTTTCCAGGTTAATGTATCAACATAATCTATTTGCTATAGTAAGTTTTACAAAATATAAAACAAACTATTTGTAGTTATTAGTACACTTTCACATATTTTTTACTGATAACTAAGGCCAAAATGTGAATGATTATCACATGTTTAAATAATTAAGGTTAATATTTTTTAAACCAAATCCCGTTTTTTTCTAAACCAGTTGTTAAATTCTGATTCTGCCAATAGAGGTTATAGCTTCTGACTGGAAAATTACTGACTTCACTTTCCAGTTCACAATTGCTCTCCTTGTTTCACTTTCTTAAAAAAAAAGAAAAAGAAAAGAGAAACCCTCCATGGACTTGCTCCAGCCTCCAACACAGACCTTGTTTCTTTCTGCTCCCTTTCTGACATTTTCAGCACTGACCTACTAATTGTCCTTACAGACAAATCTGTCAGCTTGTGTAAGCGTACTTCTATTCAAAACTCAGGGAAACTACATGTACTTTTTAAAATCTTTTTTTTTTAACTTTAGAGTTCTTTTTTTAAGCTTTCAATTTGAAACTTTATCCCTGCTTTAAATTTCTTTTCCCACTTTAAATCTAGTCAAAATTTTTCTTCTAATAATTGACAAGTTTCAAGGCACACTGCTCTCAAGTGCGGTCAGGGCCATGTCTGTTTTGGTCACTCTCATGTTCTCAGAACTTAAAAGAAGCCATTCATATATTACTCAGATACATAGATCAAATAAAAGAAATGCAGCTTGAAGTAGATTTTTGTAATAGCTGACATCTATACAACTTCCGTGAGCAAGGTCTTACGCTGAAAACACTTTCACGTATTATCTTACTCCACTTTCATATAGTCCTATTAAATATTATGCATATTAATATCCTCCCCAATTTCTGAAATAAAGATACCGAGATTAAGCAAGATAATTAGAGACTAAGTAAGCAATGGACCCAGAACTCAAATACAGGTCTGCCTCCAGAGCCCATGAACTCCTCCACTGTAGAGCTCTATTCACACATAGTCAAAAGCAACAGAGCTAAAGATGGAACAGCCAGTGAAGGAGAAGGGAGCGTCCTTGACCCAGACCACCACTGGAGCACCAAGGGAGGAGATCCAAAGACAGTCCACCCTGACGGGGTTTCCAGTAGGGAACGTAGGCATGTTCTATGATCTTCCTTTAAATACACACAAATATGAACAGGATAAAAAAGGCACAAAAATTTCCGGAAATGTTTTCCCTTGGTACTAGGTCCTCTTAGGTAAAACTTGCTTTTAAATAAAACTGGTTTGTTCTGAATGGTTTACATCTCATCATTTCTGAAAAAAGGTTCTGTGCCAAGCTGAAAAAACAAAAAAGCCCAATCTGAGAAGAGTCAGGCCAAAGACAGATGCTGACACGCATCTGCCAGTTCCTTCTAGTTCTAACCCAGTGACAACCACCACGTCAACATTCAATCATCAAAACAGGGAAGAAGAAACAAAGGTGTTTAAGGATTAACTTACTTTTTACTACATAGAGAGTAGTTTGATGCTACAATGGTATTAGGTTATCAAAACAAATACTTTTTCATTGTCTATCATATATAAATTATCTTTATAAAACAAGTTTATATTGATGAGAACAGAGGACTGCATAATAAATATATTTTCAAGTCTAGCTGGGACATGAGGTTATTTTAATCTTGCCTCTGATAGTAATAATTTTCCTAATCAGTAACTGAAAAGTCATTCTAAAAGTTACATCCTAACTTCTGAGTTTTAAGATGGTCCAATATTGGGCCATAATAGATTAAATTGAAATTACAGGTCAAAATCAGTCTGAGCCTCACACCCACCTCATAACCTCCTAAGCAGAACAAGGGCAGATGTGAAGAGCAGCAGTGAGGACCTCAAGGAAGCCATTTTCAAGATGGGGCTAGAAGGCCTGGATGAGGAGTGCCTTTCCTGAGTCAGACTTTCTGCATACACACATTACTGATGCAGTATGTATTAATGAAATGAGCTATGCAACTCCTGTGATTTCTGCAGCCCTAGCTAAATAATATCTATACATAATATAGAACCATTTATTATCATTTTATCACATTTATCACTAGAGTCTAGAAAAGAGAGACTCTGAAGATGAAGTTACTTGTTCAGAATCACAAAGCCAGTGACACAGCAGTTAACTCAACACACAAAGTCCCTGCCCTCAAAAGTTTACATTCTAGAAAGGCAGAGAGGCAATAAACAACATTAATAAATAAATTATAGTACATCAGAAGGTGCTAATACTATGAAGGTAAATAACACATGAAGTAACACAGGGATAGCTGTGGCAGCAGTATGAGTTGTAAATAGGATAGTTAAGAGGCTTTCACATCCCATGTGTTACACAGGAGCTGAGGTAAGAGGGTGAGTGTGTCACTATCCCAGTAAAGAGAATTTCAGGCAGAAGGAACGGCCAGTGCAAAGGCCTTGCCTGAGAAGGGTGTGTCTAGAGGGTTCTCTCAACAGCAAGAGAGCCAGCGTGTGAAGAAAGGACAGGACAGCGAGACATAATAGAGTACCAGCTCATGTGGGGCCTGGTCAGCTGCGCTGAGGACTATGCATTTTACGAGGGAGATGGGGAGCATTGAAGGTAGTAACACATGACATGATAATGACTAGGATAGACTGAGTGGAATAAAGGTGGCAGAAAGGCATGCTGGTGAAAAGCAGGTAATTTCCAGTGAGTTTGATATAAAACTGAAAGTATTTAACAGACTGTTAGGTAGTATGAATCAAAGGTTATTCAAAAGTTTCTGGGGGGAAATCAGGAATTAGATTTTAGGCAGATTAAGTTTAAGATATGACCACTGATATGATACATCAGCATGTACCTGAACACTGGTGGTCAATTTTAGGGAGCAATACAGACTAGGAATATCAACTTATTTTTTTTTAATTCACAAATATTTGAGTGCCTATTATGTGCTAGATATTGTTCCAGGTACTTGGGACACATAAGAGAACCAAACAAAGAGCCCTGCCCTCATGCAGCTTACAGTCTAGCATTTATTGCCACTTTACCTGCAGATGGTCTGTGACCAGGGGTAAGTCAACATATCTCTGTCCTCAGCTGCCTACCAGGGGGAATAGCAGGCCTGACTCAAGACATGAATAACATGCCTGGTGTACTACAGATGCCAAATTGGACACCCACTGCCCAGATAGAGAACAGGGCTGGAAGCTGATTTTTAATAATAGAATATAATAGGAAGAGGGCAGAGACAGTTGAGCCGAGTAATCTGGTGTGCTATAGTGGCTGTAGGCTGGCTACACAAATCGTTGCTGCAGCTGCTGTTGCTTCTTGGTGGCTGCCTTGTTGGCGAGGTCCTTGGCCTTCTCCGTGGCTGCCAGTACTGTCTCCTTTGCCTTCTCTTTGGCTTCTTTGGCTGTCTCAACAAGTGTTTTGGAAGGGGCCTCACCCTGCAGCTTGGCCAAGATGGATTCAAAACCTTTCATACTTGGGCAGCACCTGTGGCTCAAGGAGTAGGGTGCCAGCCCCATATGCCAAAGGTGGTGGGTTCAAAACCAGCCCTGGCCAAAAAAAAAAAAAAAAACCTTTCATAGTCTTGGTCACATTGCTTTTGAACTAGGCAAGACCAAATTCCTGGACAGCCCTGGAGACAACAAATAAGCTAGAGGAGACCCAGGTTTCTCGACGGATTTCAATCAAGCCACTGTTGTCAGAGTTCACATAGTAAACACATCGTTCCTCCACCACCATCAGCTGGGTGTGGTTGATGTTCCAGGTGAACGTGGCCATGGTCTGATTCTGTGGGTCCACAATAGAGGCCTCCAGGATGTACACTGAGGGAGCAACATTGGCAGGAAACAGTCGCTCAGCCCAGCAGGGCATCCTATTGGTCTTGGTCAGGAGAAGCCAAGACAGGAGCTTCTGGTCAAGGGTCACCTGATGTACCATGTCTTCCATCAAGACACGTTTGCTATAAGGATTCGGGTACTGCTGCCAAAAGGCAGCGAACACGTGGTCCCATGAACTCCGGAGCAGACTCTGGAGACTCTCACCATCGTCCCGGCCAGGCGGGCTCAGCACCAGCACAGCATTAGGGGTACGGAGCCCAGGGTGGGGCTCGTGGTGGCCGGTGGGGTTCAGCGCACACCCCCTGCCAGGCTAGCAGCTCAGTGGCCACCAATGGACCGCACCCCAGCTGCCATGAGTCAAAATATCAACTTCTCAAGTCATCACCACAGAGATAATTTAAAACAATGAAACCGGATGAGATCACTGTCCTAGATATAAGAGTTTGTGCAGAAGAAAAAAAAAAGAATTTACCAGGGAGAAGTGCTTGAGCTCAGGAGTCTGAGACCATTCTGAGTAAGAGAAAAAGCAAGATCTCATCTCTACAAAAAAAGAAAAAAATCAGTCAGATGTGGTGGCACATGCCTGTAGCCTCAGCTCTACGCTAGGAGTTGAGACAGGAAGACTGCTTGAGCCCAAGTGTCTGAGGCTACCATGAACTATGAAGATGGCACTGTCAGCAATTTAATGTCACCTAGCTGAAGACTCACTTGAAGGGCTTTTTAAATTGATAATAATACTAATAATAATTTGTTAAAGCCAATCTTCATTTATATACTATGTATTTCTTCTTTTAAAAGCAAGATTCTTTTTGTATGTTTAAGCATCGGGATAATTAGCAAAGATAATTTCTTTTTTTTTCTTTCTTTTTTTTTTTTTTAATTTATTGTTGGGGATTCATTGAGGGTACAAGAAACCAGGTTTCACTGATTGCATTTGTGAGGTAAAGTCCCTCTTACAATCCTATCTTGCCCCCAAAAGGTGTGGCACACACCAAGACCCTACCCCTCTCCCTTCTTCCCTCTCTCTGCTAATCCCTTCCCCACTCCTCCCTCCTTCTTCCTCTCTCTGCTCACCCCCTCCCCTTGTCATTAATTGTCCTTATATCAAAATTGAGTACACAGGATTCATGCTTCTCCATTCTTGTGATGCTTTACTAAGAATAATGTGTTCCAATTCCATCCAGGTTAATACAAAGGCTGTAAAGTCTCCATTTTTTTAAATGTCTGAATGGTATTCCATGGAATACATATACCACAGCTTGTTAATCCATTCCTGGGTTGGTGGGCACTTAGACTGTTTCCACATTTTGGTGATTGTAAATTGAGCTACAAGAAACAGTCTAGTGCAAGTGTCCTTATGATAAAAGGATTTTTTTCCTTCTGGGTAGATGCCCAGTAATGGGATTGCAGGATCAAATGGGAGGTCTAGGTTGAGTTCTTTGAGGGTTCTCCATGCTTCCTTCCAAAAAGGTTGTATTAGTTTGTAGTCCCACCAGCAGGGTAAAAAAAGTGTTCCCTTCTCTCCACACCAGCATCTGCAGTTTTGAGATTTTGTAATGTGGGCCATTCTTGCTGGGGTGGTTTTGATTTGCATTTCTCTAATAATTAGGGATGATGAGCATTTTTTCATATGTTTGTTCGTCATTCGTCTGTCTTCTTTAGAAAAGGTTCTATTCATGTCTCTTGCCCATTGGCTTTTTTCATGTCTATTAATTTGAGGTCTCTATAGATCCTAGTTATCAAGCTTTTGTCTGATTCAAAATATGCAAATATCCTTTCCCATTGGGTAGGCTGTCTGTTTGCTTTGGCTGTTGTGTCCTTAGCTGTACAGAAGCTTTTCAGTTTGATTAAGTCCCATTTGTTTATTTTGTTGCTGTTGGAATTGCCACGGCAGTCTTCTTCATCAAGTCTTTCCCCAGGCCAATATTTTTCAGTGTTTTTCCTATGCTTTCTTTGAGGATTTTTATCATTTCATGCCTTAAATTTAAGTCCTTTATCCATCTTGAATCAATTTTTGTGAGTGGGGAAAGGTGTGGTTCCAGTTTCAGTCTTAGCAAAGATAATTTCTAAAAGTGAATTTACAGACCATAACCCAATAACTTTGTTTTACAAAATGGAAGATGAAGGCAAAGAGATTAAATGACCTGCCTAAATTCCTACAGCTCATCAGTAGTATGTCAAGGCACTGGGCAGGAGTGCAGTGCCAGTGTCCTTGACTATACCACCATCAGTTTTTCTGATTTGAGGAGTTCTAGTGAATCTTGCAGAGCAGTGGTCCCAGCAACGTCTGTCTCCATACACCTGACCGTCATCCACTACCACCACAAATGGCAAAGTGTCTCAAAAAGCTACTCAGTGACAATGCCACAACTGCCTATCCTCCCCCCCATGTGTGTGCCACATCCAAGGAAAAGGAAGGATAGGTGTCACTTAATGACAACCCAGAGAGCTATGGAGAATTAGCTTCTACTGTCCTCTGAGCCTAATCACATGGTTTTACGCTCTAATATTATTGGGTTCTCTGATCTCTAAGTATCTGTTGTAGTTTACGCTTCTTGTCACCTGGCCAAAGCCCAATTATTATTAGCATACAAAAATTAAAAGACTTCAGCTTTATCCTATAGTTTTAAATCTATTTAAACCACAGTTACAAAATTCTCATCAGAGTAAATGCCTAATTATTACTTAAGCCAGGCTTAAAATATAAATAAAAAATAAAGCCTAGTAACTGATATTTGCTTAGAAAGCAAATATTCTATTTAACAATTTAAGACTGTGTAGACAGTTACTAACATTATCACACAGCTATCAATAAAGACTAACATATTAAAAAATTTAAAGGCTGGGCACAATGGCTCACACCTGTAACTCTAGCACTCTGGGAGGCCAAAGCAGGTGAATTACTTGAGTTCCCAGGTTCGAGATCAGCCTTAACAAAAGCTAGACTCTGTCTCTACTAAAAATAGAAAAACTGAGGCAAGATGATCACTTGAGTTGGAATTGGAGGTTGTGGAGCTATGATGCCACAGCACTCTACCCAGGGTGACAGCTTGAGACTCTGTCTCAACAAAAAAGAAAAAGGAAAAGAAATTTAAACAGTTTGATGGCTCACACCTATAAACCTAGCACTGTAGGAGGCCAAGGCGGGTAAACTGAGCTCAGGAGTTTGAGACTAGCCTGGGCAACAGTGAGACCTTGTCTCTACTAAAAATAGAAAAACTAGCCAGGTATTATGGTGGGTGCCTGCAATGCCAGCAATTTGGAAGGCTGAAGCAAGAGGATCACTTGAGCCTAGGAGTTTGAGGTTGCTATAAGCTGTGATGCCATGGCACTCTACCAAGGGCAACAGAGTGAGACTCTTGTCTTAAAAAAAAAAAAAAAAAGAAAGA